AAATAAGATAAATATAATAAATAATATATAATTAATAAATATAACAAATATGACAAATCTAACAAATAAGATAAATAATATAAATATGGTAGATCGGTCAAATATGATCAATTGGCCATATTTGTCAACTAAGTCAAATAATAATTTGTAGATTAATTTTGATGATCTTTTAATAATGTTGATTTTGCAGCTAACACCCTTTAAGTAGGAGTGCGGATTATATTAATGGGCACAAATGTGACGTTCGTTTCATGATAACATTAGGAGTTGATGTGGAAGAATGGGAGTTTTCCGTCAAGGTTACAGCAACAAAAACGATTGGTGATCGATGTCGTTCGGCAAGAATAAACCAATCTATATTGAATGGTTTATTAGAATACAATCTCGATGACAATCAAGTCAAGGATATCTGAGTTCCTTTCCTACAATTTGCTAGAACAAACGGACAATTATTGATTGAAGACCTGATAGAAGGTTTTTATGTTGTTTTACCTGGACCTAAATTTGAGTTACTGACAAAACTCAAGAGTATTGGAAAGTTAAAGACATGTATTAGCATAATTAAATTAGTTATGGTGAGCTTATGAATTCTATTTGTTATCAAAAAAATGTTTTCTGAGACAATGTCTCGAAAATTTCAGTCACATGACTTTGATAATTACGGTTTTCAAAGTTACATGAGCCCGATCATTAACATAATCTATAATATTTTGATTCTGCATCACTAATCTATTATAATATATTATGCAGGAAATGTATGTCAAAACATGTAAAACAATAGAAAATGTAGAAACATCACATAACGATTTCGATGATATTTTCGATGTTAATGATACAGTCAAGTAGGATTGTTATTGGTTAAAAGCAAACCAATTAAACTGCAATTTAAACTCTAACTGATAAAATAGATTAAGATATGATTGATTTAACTTATATTTCAAACTATATCAAGAAATCGTTACAAATACATACATACAATAACAATTTTTATCACAATATAACAATTACAGATGTTTTTACAGTGTGTGTTGATCAACAATAATTACCAGTTCATTGTTTGAATTTATTTTTTTTACAACTTTTTACAATTGTTATGTTAATCAATAACAATTATGGTTTATTTATATAAAGTGAATTTTTTTCTTTTTGAGAGTGAATATGTAATGTCAAATATGAATATTCAAGTTATACAAGATGATTCTGATGATATATCATCAAATAGCATTTTATCAGAAGCAAATAGTAGACCTATACATAATGGTAAAAAACATAAATCACCGATGGACAAATATTTTACTTGAACTATAGAATCACAGATTTGTAAATATTGTGACATTAAATATCAAACTTCAATATCTACTGGAACTTTAAACACATAAAAACACATAACAAAGAAATTTATGAACCAATTACTTCAATAAAATTTAATCCTTATACTCGATAAGAGCAACTGAAATATAATAAATATGTAATTCATTGGATAATTTTAAGCATGCAATCTTTTTCAATTGTTGAAGAGGATTCATTTATTAAAATGATTAAAAAATTTGACCTATGTTACCATATACCAAGTCATTATTATATTAAATCTCATATTGTAAATCAATTTCAACTTCGACAAGAAAAATTAAACTATGATCTTCAAAAAATTCAAGGTATGGTTTCACTAACAACTGATATGTGGACTTCTAAAAGTAATCATACTTTTTTAGATATCACGATTCACTGGATAGATGATAGTTAGCAAATGCGAAAATTTTTATTAGATATTATTCGATTTCATGAATCTCATTCTAGTGCAAATATATCAGAAACTTTATTAAGTTTAATGGTTAAATATAATCTTACCACAAAAGTTTTAGCTTTAACTACAGATAATGATTCTGCTATGATAGCATGTGATCGTAAAATATGTGATGAATTAAGCACAAAATTCAATAATTCATTATTTTCTCATTATCATTATGATGCTCATATACTCAATCTTGCTATACAACATGGTTTACAAGTATATGATGAAGTCATTGGAAAAGTTTGTAACTTTATAAACAAAGTTAAAAAATCTAATTTATTGATAGAAGATTTGCAACGTATATTTGAATTACAAAATCTTCCATATTTAGGATCACAAATAGATCTTGAAACCTGCTAGAATTCCACTTATTTAATGCTTGAAAAATTTCAAAAAATTCAAACTCAAGCTAATATGCTTATCACACAACATCCAGATGATTTTATTAATATGTATTTGACGAATGATGAATAGACAAATATTAATGTTAGTATTTAAAATACATTATTACTATATATATACAAAATATTTAACAAAATTTTTTTAATAGGAATTAATATCAGTTTTATCTCCTATGTATTATGCTACATTGATTCTTTCTTCTTCTTCATTTTCAACTATTGAAGACCTTCATTTTATTTTTTGGACCTTAAAACAACACTTAGAACATGAAATCACTAATAGTACAACTATACATGAAGTTGAAATAAAATCCAAAAAGTTGAAATGTTTCGACTTTGGAGGTTAAAGTCGAAATGAAAAGTCGAAATAGTCAAAATTACATTATATCACATGATTTTTTATATATAGAAAAAAAACAAAAGATGTAATATCTCGTTCAATATCGTACCGATTCGTATGAAACAACTACCATTCGATTCCTCGCGACTAGGCGAATCCAATGAGCTAACATTCATTGATTTTGGATCATCCCATCTCGAGATATTTGCGATTGTCTTTCGAAATCCAGACTCCTTTATTTAAAGTATAATTTATTGATTTATAATTTTGACCGATAATACAATTGCGAGTATCTCGTGATTGGATGATCCAAAATTAATGAATGAATGTTAGCTCATTGGATCCGCCTAGTTTCAAGGAATTGAATGGTAGTTGTTTCATAAGAATCGGAGCGATATTGACCGAAATCGTACATTTTTTGTTTATTGTTTTTTCTCAATATGAAAATCATGTGATATGACATCATTTTAACTATTTCGCGACTTTAGCCTTCAATGGTCAAAATGATTTCGACCATTTTGACCATTTTGGATATCCGAAATGATCTATTTCGACTTCATGTATAATAATGGCTATAAAATAGAAATATCTAATAATAGTAATATATTGAATATATTTAAACCATTTTAAATAACCTATCAAACTATATATGGGTAGTATTCTATTAAAATTGAGGTACAGATTATATGATTTACTATGTCTTGTAACCCACTTTTAATAGATCAGCTCCCATATGATGATGATGATTAAGGATCTGTTGTTAATTTCTCAGAAAAATCAGATAATCCAGCTAAGCATTTTTCTGAAAATAGAAGAGATATTTATGAAGATTTATCAAATAAAAGAAGAGAAAATATAAATAATAAAACAAAAAGAAATAACAGTTGATTAATCAGTTATTATAAAGATTCACTAATGTATTAAATACACATATAAAACATAAAAAAACACTAATTCTAAAAAAAACTCGATTTGTTAATTTTCAACATTTAAAGAAGGAAACTAAACTCCTATAAAATAGTTAGAGAGATTCAAAAGAGCATGTGTTGCAAACAAAGTAACTGAAAATAGAGTGCTTGATATTTTACCTTTGTATTTAAAAGAAATAGTCTTAACTTAGTTTAATCAATGTAAAGCTTAATATTAAAAAAGTTTTGTTATTACTCAGTCTTTTATTCAACTATTCCAAAACTATTATTGTAATGTCTTTAAGAAATATTAGTGAAACATCAATTGCAAAATCTGAGACAAAGAAATTATTGATAAATATATTGCTGAAATTACTAAGCTATAAAAGAGAATTGATCCAAATAATAACTGAACAAATGCTGATAAAATTGCTAAATTCATTGAAGGACTATAACTTGAATTTATTATTCTAGTATAATCATTATGCCTAAAATAGATGAAGTAGTTAATAAAGCATTAGCATTAGAAACTGCATATTTAATAGAAATGAAATTATTAACATATTTCTTGATGTCAAATTATTTGAAAAACTTACATGAAGGATTTATATCAACTAAAACAAATCTTACAATCCATTATCTTATCCTTCTAATAAATACTTTTAGAAGTAATGCATCTGAGTCAATTGAAGAAATAATTAATTAAAAATTAAAGCAACTTATACGAAGCTAGAAGTAAATTAAAACAGTTTCTCTAATTATAATAGCAATAATAACAATAACAATAATAATAATAATAATAATAATAATAATAATTAAAATATTAGAATATGTCGTAACTGTATATATTGCTAAAGATTGCAAGTAAAGAATTAGCAATAATAATAATAATTACAATAATAATTATAATAATAATAATAGTAATAATAATGTGAGAATATGTTATAATTGCAATAAGCCTAAATACATGGTAAGGGATTTCTAAGCAAATTAAAACAATAATAATTTGAATAATAATCTGAATAATAATTATAATAATAATAATTCAAATAATAATAATAGAAATAGAAATAACTAATAATATAATAGGTAACCTTCTTTAGAAGAAAATCAACAGTTTAATTTCTCAGTCAATAATTTAAATTAGTGAAAACACCTTTGGAAAGTAAGAGTGCAAATAAACCAAACCTTCTAGAAACTGAAAAACAAGTTACTTAGAATAATATATTAGAACAAATTAGAGAATTTTATAAAAATGATTTTGAATATAAAGATATATTGGCAAATCTTTTAAAAATAATGAACTTGTAGAATATTAGCATATATTTTAAGGCAATATTACATGTTTTTCTAAAATTAGTTTCATATTATAGGAGATTTATTAAGGATTTTTCAAAAATTTTAGCCCTATTATATAAATTAATTGAAAAAGAAATTGCATACTAATGGTCAGATGAAACTAAAAGAAAAATACCAATTTTAACTATTCAGACAATCAACCTTTTACCCTATATATTGATGTATTTCAAATCATATTAAAAGCAGTATTGTCTTAAAAAGGAGTTAACAAAAAAGGAATATGTAATTATATATGCAAATAAATCTTTAAATTTAGCAGAAAAAAATTATAATATAATAGAATAAGAATGTTTAACTATAGTTTAGGTAATAAAATACTTCAAATATTACATATTTGAAAGTAAATTTACAATTATTACTAACTATTCTATATTATAATAATTATTAAATTCAAATTCAAAAGTTACTGAGAATAAGTGAATAATAAAATAGAAAGGAATACAAATATGAAATAAAATATAGAAAAGAAAAGAATCATGAAAATGCTAATACCTTATTATAGATTAACCTTTATAATTACAATTTAATCAATACAATTATGTCATCACTTTTATCATTTAATATATTTAATAATAAATAATAAATTATATGAAGACTTGACACTCATAATCCTTATATACTTTTTTTTACTTAGATAATTCTTAATAGATTAAATATAAAAGATTTCAATCCAATACATGATGAAAAATAAATTATTATATAAATGGTCTAAGAATAAAGATAAAAGAGTAATTCTACATAAACAACTGAAAATTATTCTTTACAATTTTTATAAAGATATGACAGGTGCTTACCTTATATTTAATGCTATTTTTAAGAAATTAAAAAAATAATATTACTAATCACAAATATGCAAAGATATTAAAAAATATATTTAATAATATGAGAGGTTTGCTAGGAAAATGGGACTCTGAGACTAAAAAATTTTTTTGAATAAATTAAAAAATCAAAATAAACAAAAAA